TAGGGAAATTTCTGGTCCCAAATCCTAGATCCAGACCTTACCATGATCTGAGTCATGCCCACGCCCACCCTGGTTTCATTAAATACTCATCTGCGTAGGCAGGAGCTTTCTTACTATTGACTACGTCATAGAGCTATACACACACACACACACACACACACAGAGCCGCTGCCTAAAGGCAAAATATGTCCAGCTACTGAATTCTTCCTCAGGAAGGCTTTTTGGAAAGGAAGAGAAAGCTGATATGAATTAAAAAAGCATCCCAGGCATATTATGCAAAAGAGGAGTAAGGTAACAGTTGAAAGTAGTCAGTTCAAAGATATTTGATTCTCCATCACTTTTATCTGACTACCAAGCATTCCCTCAGTTCTGAAGATCATTGTGTCACTCCTCCCCTCGGCACCCCAAAACTGAAGCGTATATCCTGCTGTCTCCCAACCTCTAAGGAAAATCCAGGAGTTCTATCTTTCTTGAAAGGCAGCTAGGTGGCAAAGTGAATAGAATCCTGAGACCAAAGTCAGGAAGACCAGTTCAAATTTGGCCTCAAATAGTTGTGTGATCCTGGACAAGTCACTTTACTGTGTCTGTCTCAGTTTCCTCACCTGTAAAATGTGGTAATAATACCACCTACCTTCCAGGGTTGTTGTGAGGCTCATATGTGATATTTGTAAAGCTCTTTGCAAATCTTAAAACCATATATACATGTTAGCTATATTCCCCCTCCCTGACCCTCAGGATTCCCTATCTCTTTTCACCTTCTGTGCCTGGTTGATCATCTTCCGGACCACCTCCTTGATGTGGGCTTGTCCATCGATGGGGGGTTGCATGTACACACTGGCACGGGTCACCCCACGGTAGGCAATGGTATCAGGCCAACCAAGGTCCAGCTGTGGGATAGAGCGGTCTGACTTCTGTGGCCAGTATTCCAAGGAAGGGACCAGGTCAGCGTCAGCGTCAGCATCAGCATCAGCATCAGCATCACCACCTCCCTCTCCATTCTCTTCCTTATCATTGGGCCCCGAGCCCTCACAGGGACCTCTTTGTTCCCGGGGGTCCTCAGATCCTGGGTCATAGACTTCAATTGTCTCCAGGATCTTCTTGAGCTCCAATTCAGACAAAAAGTCCCGGATATTCTCCTTCTTGAGAACTTCGTAGAAGGCCTCGGGGCCCCTTGCCACCAGGGCTTCCAGGGCCAACCTCTGCCCCTCACTATAGAAGAATTCAGGTTTAGATTCGCTGGAACGCCAGTTCACGTGGCTATCATCCAGGCACTGCACCTGGGAATACGCCATGGCTGTGCCAGGGGCACATACACTGGTCAAGTCAGGACTGAAGGAGGAAGGAGTGGTTGGTGTTGGAGCAGAGTTTAACTAGGGGAAGGAGGGGGAGGTTCAGGCTTCTAGTCTATAGGACTTTCCAGAGGCCAAAGGCGTTCTTCTCTCCCCCTCCTTCTTTCTTGCTCCTTGGATCCTGAGCTCAGATGCCCGACTCCCCAGCGATGGCCCAGCAGGACAGGTAGTGTTTGGCACGCACAGGCTTCACCTGCATTCTGCCCATAGGGAACCTGTTTGGGGAAAGAGGCGGAGAATATGAATAAAGGCTTGCGGAAAGGGCAGCCTAGGATAGAAAGGTTGGCTTGGGGGTCAAATGATTCAGAAAACTAAGAGGGCTTCTAGGTGACGGTGGCCGGAAGCTAGTCTTCTCCCTTCCTCCGGTCTTCTCTCTCCTCCCTTCCCCCAATACCAATAAAATCCCCAACAATACTCCCGGGAGCCAGCATGGCCTGCGCTCGGATCTCGAAGCACTGCAAAGTGCTGGGAAGTCCGTGGAAGAGGAGGGAGGTGGAGTTGGGTGAGAAGGCTGTCTCGGAAGCCTCTGGGTGGCTAGGAGGATAGGTAGGTGGGGGGTTCCTCTTTACCCCAGCTCTCTCCAGCAACCTGGGACCCAGCGGCCGGGCAGGCGAAGGCGAGGCAGAGCGGAGCTGCCCAGGTAAAGCGGCGCAAATGACAAGCGGGAGGCGACAAGTCGGAAGCAGCCGGGAGGGGAGGAGCGGGCTGCGGGAGCCGAGTGAGTCATGGCCCCTCCCGGCCCCACCTGGCGGGGGTGGGGGTGGGGGGAGTGTTATGTGCAACCGTGGCCCCGCCCCCTCAAGCCGGGATCTGCGCGCGCTCAGGTGCTTCTTGATCCGACTCTGAGTCGGGACCCAGGAAGCTGAATCATTCCCGGTGTCTCCCGACGTGTCTAAGCTCCCGGGGGACGGGAGGGGAGAAGCTGAGCACCCCCATTCCCGATAGCCTGGAGATTGGTTCACCTAACACCTCCCAACTTCCTGCCCAGCTCCTCCGCTGTCTCTCCCGGGCACCAATCCTTAACGACCTCCTCTATCTCCTCCTTCCAACCCCCCCTTACCTTCGGGGAGGGAGCCTGATGTGGCTGCTGGGAACTTGGCAAATCCCACCTCCTCCCACAAACCTTCCCAGACCATGACCAGCCAGCCCACTCCATTTAATCTGCCCCACACAGTCTAGGTTCATTTATAGACCCTAGTACCTTGTGGAGATTGATTTTATCTTAGACTTTGAGAGGAGTTTACAAATGAACTTATCTGGGCCTCAGTTTCCTCATTGGAAAATTGCAAAGCCCCAGTATTTTATAGATGAGGAGACCGAGGCCCAGAGAGAGAGTGACAACCAAAATTATACAGCTTGGCAGTAGCAAGCAGAACCAAGATTAGACCTCAGTTGTCCGAAGCCTCCCTCCAGCACTCTCCACTGCTCCACAGCTGTATTGGTTTGTGTTATTTTCCCTGGATTATAAACTTCTTAAGGGCTTCCACGATTGGCATTCCCACAGGATCTAGTACAGGACCAGATGCAGAGCCGCAATAGAGATTTACTGTACTGTTTTCATTAATTCCCAATGATGGTGGTGCTAGCCAACCACCCAGGTTTGGAGCCAAAAAAAAAAATACCTCCCTCTTAGAGGGCCAAGTTCCTTCTCTGCTGCTTGCCATCTGGATGACTAGGCAAATTGTTTCTGTTTCTCTGGCCCTGTTTCTTTATCTGTAAAATGAGAGGGTTGGTCTAAATGATCTCTACCATCCCTTCCAGCTATAGATCTATAATGCTATTTCTCTATGGCAGTTAAAAGTGGTGTAGTTAAGAACAATGGCTTTCAAGTTGGAAACGTGGTTCTGAGCTTGGTTCCCTGTATGACTTGACAAAACCACTCTCACTTACCTCAGTTTCTTCATTTGTACAATGGAGATTGGATTATTGGATTGAATGATGCTTAAGAACCCTTCCAGCTCTGAAGTTCTATGACTGTACCACTTTAGATGCTGCTATTGGATCAATTGGGGCAGCTAGGTGGTGAAGTGGAAAGAGTGCTGGACCTGCAGTGAGGAAGACCTGAGTTTGTATCCAGCCCCAAACACTTCTTTAACTGTGTGATCCTGGATGACTCACTTAATCCTGTTTGCCTCACTTTCCTCATCTGTAAAATGAGCTGGAGAAGGAAATGGCAAACCACTCCAGTATCTTTGCCAAGAAAACCCCAAAAGAGTCAGACATGACTGGAAAAAAAAACAACTAAACACTGGGAGCAGTTCCCCAATCCTGAGGTGCTCCATACTTCCCTCACCCTTGCTATTCCAATATACTTCACACAAGGGAAGCTAGGTCTCTAATGGAGGACTCTGAAGGCCATCACTTTAAGGGGAACAGATCTTCAGGGGCGGGTCCCCTAAAGACAGGCCTACCTCAGCTCCAGAACAAGCTCAGCTACCTGGACAGAGGCCTTGGCGTCTCTGGAGCTTGGGGGCTCTGGGTTATGGGGTGGTGCAGCTGCCACATCTGATGGCTAGAGCCTCCTTTAAACAGCTGCCTGGGCAGGGAGGGGTTTAATTGGCCAGAGCCCTAGAAAAGCCCATTACAAATGGACTTGCTTCTTCAGCTGTCCTTCCTCAGCCTAATGACAAAGCTAGTTTGGAAGGAGACATTGAACTCCATGTGATGACCTTCAAAAGGGCAGGGACCCATGTTATCTCCTCCTAGCTTCTCCTGATGTAGAGCCAGGCCCAAAGACTTGTTTTGTTTTTTTTGTTTTTAGGCAATTGGGGTTAAGTGACTTGCCTAGGGTCACACAGCTAGTAAGTGCCAAGTGTTTGGTCTGAGGCCGGATTTGAACTCAGGTCCTCCTGACTTCAGGGCCGGTGCTCTATCCATTGTGCCACCTAGCTGCCCCTCCAGAGACTTGTGAAGTCAATGATGGTGGGTTTGGAAGTTTGGTGAATAAGCAGTATGTTGTAATGAACAAAAAGCACTGGACTAGGAGTCCTGGATGCTTATTCCCATTTTGCCACTATCTGATGTGTGATTTTTGTCAAAAAATGTTGCCTCTCTGGACCTCAGTTTCTGAACCCATAAAGAAAAGGGAGAGGGTAGGGTGATTTGATGTTGTGTAGGTCTTCAGACTTCATTGACTTAACACTTTGATTATAATTATTTATTTAGTAATCTTAGGGGTAGGTGAATGGGCAAGGAAGAATAGGGTTGACCATACTCACTAGAGTTGAATGGTCAACTGCTCAATGACTGCTGTTTTCTTTCCTAATCTTCAAAAGTGGAAAACCCTGGGGTTATGCCTGGTCACCCCTTTAGGGAGTGTGACCCTAAGTAGAAGGCAGAATGAGTTTGGGCAGTAGCAGATACCACTCAAAGGAAATGGAATCCTTTTTCTTTACATTTACCTCCCACTACCACCTTCCCAAGAATCTACGCCAATGTGGAAGAAGGAGCAGAAAGTGAGGAATAAAATGAAAAAAGGAGAAGCAAGGGATAGGTAGGGTTTATCCCCAGTTCTTTGGTTTCCTATAAGTCCCAGATAAAATCCCACCTTCTATAGGAAGCCTTCCCAATCCCCATTAATTCTAGTGCCTTCCCTCTGTGGATTATATCCAGCTTATCCTGTACATAACTTGTCTGCACATATTTGTTTGCTTGGTATCTCTCCTGTTCATGAGCTTCTTGAGAGCAGGGACTGTCTTTTGCTTTTTCTTGTATTCTCAGTGCTTAGCATAATGCCTAGTACATAGCAGGTGGTTAATAAATGTTTATTGACTGACTGACTTACTGCCTGAAATGAACAGTGCTCTGGACTGAGATTCTGGGACTACAAGACTTGGGATCTCATCCCTACAATGCCACAAAGTGACTATGCAATCTTGAATAGTCTCTTCCTCTCTCTAAGCAAATACCTGCTCTATAAAAACAGAGATTTGAATTTGATCTTGAAGGTCCTTTTTCAGTTCTAAAGTTGTAATCCCTTCTAGCCCTAAAATGCTATGAATCTTTTATATTGTCTTCCCTCCTGGAAGCATCAAAAGGGAATGTTAGAAATTAAAATTTGGCACTGGAATCAAAAGGCCTAGGTTCAAATCCTACCTCTACTTATGTGTTTATAGACAAATTATTTCACCTTGCTGCACCTCAGTTTCCTTATCCTTACAATTCAAGGGTTAGAGTAGAATTCAGGGGTGGGGAAACTGCAGCCTCGAGGCCACATGTGACCTTCTAGGTCCTTGGATGCAGCCTTTTGACTGAGTCCAAGTTTTGTACAACAAATCCTTTTATTAAGGGGATTTGTTTAGTGAAGTTTAGACTCATTCAAGGGGCTGCACTTGAGGACCTAGAGAGCCACATGTGGCCTTGAGGCCACAGGTTTCCTACCCCTGGCCTAGGTAATCTCAAAAGTTCCTTCCAGCTCCAAATATGTGATTCAAAATTAGGTTTGGGCAGCTAGGTGGGGCAGGGGATAGAGTGCTGGACCTGCAATCAAGGAAACCTGAGTTCAAATCTGGTCTCAGACATTTACTACCTGTGTTTGATCCTGGGCAAGTCACTTAGGCCTATCTTCCTCAGTTTCCTCATTTGTAAAATGAGCTGGAGAAGGAAATAGCAAACCATTCCAATACCTCTGCCAAGAAAATCCCCGAAAGGGGTCACAAAGAGTCAGACACAAAATGACTAAAACAACTAAACAACAAAATTAGGTTTGAAGATGCCAGGCAGGGGATGCTGTTTCTAATACCAGAGCACCAGACTATGTAATAGGTGAAGTGAGCCCAGTGGGGCCTTTGCTGTATGTAGTAGTTATATTTTAGGGTCATCCTCTAGCTGTGTTACTAGAATTTCCATGTTTGAGCTTCAAACCTTCTTCTACCCCGAAGTGAAGCTTGCTCACAGATGGAATTGTGACCAGGATCCTTAGAAGTCTTGCAGAAATAGCCAAGTTCAAATCCTAGGTCTGCTATTTTGTGCCTGTGTGACCTTGGGCAAGTCAATTGACCACTCTAGGCCTTGCTTTCCTCCCTTTAAAATTAGGGGGTTATATTAGATGACTTCCAAGCCCCCTTCTTATTCTAAATCCATGATCATTTATGAACCTAAGTATCTGGGTCATTCATGAAAGGGGAAATGAAATGGATAGGGATAGGTTAAGTGATCAGGTCAAGATCAAGCCTAGCCCATCTGGTCCATCTCCTATTAGAGAGGAATTCCTGTTCTAACACACTTGACACGTGGTTATTCAGTTCACTGAAGACCTCCAGTGATAGGGAACCCATCATCTCTCAAGGTATCTCCTTCCACTTTGGGACTGCTTTAATTGTTAGGAATATTTTTCTGACATCAGACCTAAATTTGTCTATTTGCAACTTTTCCCTGTTGCCTCTGGTTCTGTCCTCAGAAGCCAGAAAAAACAAATCTAATTCCTTTTCCTACCGACAGCCCTTCAAATAGTTGAACACATATGTAATGCCCGCTCTCAGTTTTCTCTTTTCCAGTTCTTTCAACTGATCCTTATCTGGCATGATCTCAAAGGTCTTCTTCATCCTAGTTACTCTCCAGCTTATCAATGGACTAAATTGAAGCACCAAGATTGTCCCACTCTGAAATACAAGAGACTTAGCTTAGTGTCCTGGCCTCTTAGGAATGTGCTTGACCTGCCCTAGTCAGAGCCCATTCTTCTCTCTATTCTAACGTTGGGACCAAGCAAGTTTCCGCCTTCCCTCCCCCTCGATTGGGTCCTGCACTGGGAATTTTCATGTTTGGATGCATCTGTTTATTATTGTTGTTTGAAAATGTATTTTTTTCGTTGTTCAGCAATAAATGCCAAGTGCAAGAATAAAGGAGGCAGTGTTTTGTGCCAGGCACATTTTAATTGGCTGAATAAATAAATTTAAAAATTTAATGACTCTGTGATTCTAAGCCAGATGCCCAATGACTCTGCTCCCTCTGAGGGAGGGCTGGGCCCAGTGAACACCGTGAAACTGAGCCCGGCCCAGGGGTTGGTTGTGTCCCAGTTAGGAGCTGTAATCAGCTGCCTCCACCCACTGAGCTAAGCTCAGACACCTGGCACATGAAGGCTTGCTAGTGCTAGGTGATGCACAGTTCAGCTCTTGTTTACTGTTTCTCTAACAATGTGCCACACATACTCGACTTCCTTGCCTCCTTTCCTTCTTTCCTCAATATATTCCACCCCCTTTCCTCTCTTTCCCTTCTCCTCCTCTTCCCCACTTGTACTTCCAAGTTTCTTCCTTCTCCTCTGTCAGAAAGGAAAGGTGGTTGCTGATTTGTGCCCGTATCATTTATAACAAATAATTTGTCCCTTAATCACATCCCAGCCTCTATTATGCTTTCCTAAATTCTGAATCAAACTCTTAGCTTCCAGAGGGCAGAAAATATTTACTTTTCTTCTCATCTACCCCACAGTGCAATGTCTAAAGGTTGGGCCACAAAAGGTATTCAGGGGGAAGGGATAGAGTGTTGGGCGTGAGGTCAGAAAGATTCAGCTCTATAAATTCAAATCTGGTCTCACTTACTAGCTGTGTAACCCTGGGCAAGTCACTTAATCCTGTTTGCCTCAGTTCCTCATCTGTAAATTGAGCTGGAGAAGGAAATGGCAAACCCTGCCAGTATCTTTGCCAAGAAAAAACAACAACAAAATAAGCACCTACTTGGCAAGTGCTGGGCTAAGTGCTTTTTACAAATATTATCTCATTTGATCATCCCAACAGCCTTTTTGGTAAGTACTTATTATCCCAATTTTACAATTGAGGAAGCTGAGGCAAACAACGGTTAAGTGACTTGCTCAGGATCACACAGCCAGTAAGTGTCAGACCTGATTAGAACTCGCTCCAAGCCTAGTACTTTATTCACTACACCACCAGCTTCACTACACCACATTAGGCTTCCTGATATATTTTTTAAAAAAAAAATTTTATTGACATCTTTTGTTTTTACATCACCTAAATTTTTCCCTGTATCCTTCCCCCTGCTACAGAGCTATTTCATATAACAAAGAATTTTTTAAAAAAGAAAAAATAAAAAGAGGAAGAAAAGAAAAAACAATCAATAAAACCAATCAATCCATTTTTTAAAATCCAAAAATATAAACAATGTCCCACATCCAGACTCATTTGGCTAAATCCAAACTTTTGTTCCTAGGTTTCAGTCCTGATTATAGCTCTAAAAAAATTATGGTTTTATGATTCTAGGAGTCATTTCTCTTCTTTTAACTGAAGATAGTTTATTTTCTTAATCATCAGTTTTGCCTTTTTTCTGTCTGGAATCTCCATCCCATGGTTCACCTCCTTCCCCCACACTATGGGAAGCAGAGCTCCTGGAGTCAAGATCCAGCCTTTCCTTGTCTCATTTAGTCACTGGGGATTGGGGAAGGCAGGGGAGGAAAGGTCAGGCATTGTTTACTTCCTGCAATACCAGGTGGATATGGTAAGAGGCAGACCAAGAGGTTAAAGTAGTCCAAAACTGATAGCTGGTCAGAAGTATCATCTTTGCCTGTGGATGATTCACTAACTAGCAGGGTTTGCTTTGAGTTCTGTTTCACATAATGGGGATATCTTGAACAAAGATACTCTCTCAAATAATTCTCCAGGCAAAACAAAGGTATTCAATACCTGCTGTATGTGAGGCTCTATGTCAATTATTGTGGGTTATCTGTTGAATTGTGGGTGAATGGTGATAGATATAGAGATAGAAGGCTGTCTAGCCAAACCCTCTCATTTTATAAACCGGGAAACTGAGACCCAGAGGGATTAAGTGATTTGCCCAAGGTCACATGGGTAGTATGCATAACATAAGAGGCAAGATTTGGACTCATGTCCTCTGATTCTCATTGGTACTATTTCTTCTGTACTATGTGCCTTCTAATGAGTAAGATGCAGTCTCCAACCTCAATGGATGAATATTCTTTTGGAGGGCACAAGAAACAAGAATGTGAAACAGTTAAGCAATACTACAAGGCAGAATATAACTGAATGGCCAAATCAGTGATGTGGACAATCAATACTATTAGAGTTCAGAAGAGAGAGATCACTTTCAATGGAGATCAAAACTTCATACAGAAAGGAGTACTTGACCTTGGCCTTAAAGAACCATAGGTTTTAGATAGATAAAGGAGATGGAAGAAAGATGTCTCAGGTGGGGGAGCTGCAAGAGTGAAGGAGAAAAATACAAGAAAAGCACAAACAAATCTAAGGGTCTGAGCCTAAAAAGTCACCTTTGCTAGAAGAGTGTTGCCTTTTAAAGGAAGATCTTGGAGAGTCTGACTTGAGCATTAACAAATGTTGAATTGGAGAGTTCTAGTTTTAACCAAAAGGAATCAAGTTTTAAGAGTAGAATTTTGGGCACTGTGACAAATTGGCAGGTGAGGTATTCTGGGGCCTTCCTTGTGTCCATCACATCTAATAATGTAGGCGACAGACAGTCTTGATTCACCTTTTTGTAGCCCATCTCTACTCTGTGCCCCTTGCCCAGGGTTGCCTAACTGTGATGGGACTCAGTCTGCAAGCAGAGAACACAGTGAAGATTCTACTTACTCTATAAGGACCAGAAGATCTGAACTGAGAAGGGAAGCAAGTGTATTAATAGTTGGGTAACCTGGATGAGAAAGGTTAGATGCATAATTCACCATTTTGCAAAATGGAGAGCATAGGTCAGGCCATTCGTTACCTTTATATTTCTGTTTCCTTATGTAAATAGTACCAGGCTTAGAGAGATGCTAGGAGAGTTGACTAATAATGACTGCAAAGCATTTTGCAGACAGACAATGCAGCCTAAGCAGAAATTCATAACAAAGGGAGACCTTTCCTTCTGGAACATGTTATCAATGAAGACTCCATTTGCAGCTTATGATCTCATGCACTAACACCCACCAGAAACCTCTGGACTGAATTGTCCTTACCCATGGCCTGTAGATCTCTACAGGGGCTGGGGTTAACCCTCTTCCTTTTCCCATCCTCATTTATCCATTTGCCAAATAGGAAGGATTCCTCCCTTCCTTGCAGGAAAGATTGTTTAACCTCCCCAATTTCCCTTGATGCTTATTTACACTGGCATGTTTGGCTCACTTTTGAGCCCCAAGGTTATCTCATGGACAATGGGTTTTTGCTGAGCTGCATACCCAAACCACAAGAATCTCCACAAAGCTGTGGAGCCTCAAACAATCCCTGCTTTATGAGGGATTTCTCTTGTCCCTTGTAATCCTTTTCAGCTCGCTTTATTGGTTGACATTTATAATACTTTGATGATGGCACAAGACTAGAGGACTGCTTTTTATGAGTGATGTCTTATGACAGCATTGGAAAAATAGCATTATCCTTTTTGATTGGCAGATTTATCTATTTATTTATTTATCAGCACAGCTATGACAGGAACAGAGTTAGGGTCTATGATCTTTACCATTGAGAGAGTTAATTTATCTACTCTTCCACCCAATCCAATTCGTAACATTAGGATCAGACTTGGCAAGCTAGCCATGGCCTATGTGTTGTTTCTAGGGTGAAGGTGAAGCAGCAACAGTATACTGAGCCCCTGGAAGCTTTGCCATGTTGCCTGGCCTTTTGGGGCTCTGGTCTTTCCTCCTTCTTTGGAGAGATTGGCTCCCTTAGAAAGAATTCTGGTTAAAAAAAATTATCTGAAAAGAGATAATAAGGAGATAAGCAAGTAGGGGAAGAAAAGTGGTAGAATTGAGAGAAAATGAAGAGCATGTGGAATTCCTGCATTCTGAGATGAAAATGGCTACTCTAAAAATAAGAATAAATTCAAGGACAGTCCCTGGATCAGGCTCACTGTCTTGGGAACAGAACCTTGCCATGGGATAACCTCTCTCTCTCTCTCTCTCTCTCTCTCTCTCTCTCTCTCACACACACACACACACACACACACACCTCTCTCTAATTCTCTCTTCATCACCTTATTTTTCAGATGATGTGGGCTGTGTGGTGACATCTGAGTGCCTGAGGGCCTGTGGGGCCGAAGTGGGCTGCTCCAACATTGCCTACCCCAAACTAGTGATGGAGTTGATGCCTGTGGGTAAGGCGGTCACAGGTGGAGCCAGCAGAGCAAGCCAGGCCAGTCAGCTCAGCACCTAATTGTTTTGTGGCCTGGGTGGAGCTGAGGCTATGCTTCCCCTGTGTGGGAGTCTCACCCACTGGGACTGTCCCAAGAGTCCAGCCAAGCCATTTGCCAAGTCTCTTAAAAGTCCCTAGTTTAGAAGATTTCCCAGGGCTGGCCAGAAAATTGTTATTGATTCTCCAAGAACTATAACTTGCTGAGAAGAGGAGAAGCCTTAGCCACAACTTGTTTGTTTGGGGTTTCAGTTGGGAAAAGCTGCTCAGCAGCCGCTGCTGTCTGGCAATGATCTCCTTAGATTCCCCATAATACCTAGTTGGCCCCTTAGCATTAACCTGGAGGTACCAGATTTGGACTGTTGGCCAATTAGAATGGAAAAGATTAGAGATTCTGGCTCAGAGTAGACTGTGAAATCACTCATTCAGTCAAGAAGCATTTATTTTTTTATTTTTTGGTTTTTTTTTATTTTGCTTTTTGGTGAGGTGATAGGGGTCAATTGACATGCCCAGGGTCACACAGCTAATTAATGTTAAGTGTCTGAGGCTGGATTTGAACTCAGGTCCTCCTGACTCCAAGGCCAGAGCTCTATTCACTGTACCACCTACCTGCCCCCAACAAGAATTTGTTAAGTGCTTACTATGTGCCAGGCACTGTGCTAAGTGCTAAGGATACAAAGAAAGGTCAAAAAAAAAATGGTCTTAAGAAGTCAACTGTATTGTTGAGGGTGGGTAGAGTATGACTAGAAGGAAAAATGCCCTTCCCTGAGCTGATCAGGGTCATTCTCAAGATGGCTAAGCCATTAGCCGGAGGGTCCATAGGCTCAGATAGCTGTTGTTCTCCTACAACATATATATCCCCCTAAGCTGCTGCAATCATATTCTCCAGCCCTGCTAATGGCTAGAAGTCAAAAAAGGAGGGGGTGCAGATCACAGCTTTATATAAGGAAAACTTTCTTAGTAATTAGGTTATTCAACAATGAGACAGGTTATCTCTTGAGGTAGTGAACCTATCTATCACTGGAAATATTCAAACAGAACCTTGATGATCACCCATCCAGGATGCTGGAGAGGGAGGTTAGATTAAATAAGCCCTAAGGGCCCCCTTAGATCTAATACTCTATGCTTCTGTATTGTGTGATTTTCTATTCTAGGCATCAATATGGAGAGGCAGGATGGTATAGGGAATAAAAGTCTGGAATCTGAGGGAGAAAGAACTGAGTTCAAGTCCTGCTTCTGATACACACTAGCTGTGCGTCCTTGGGAGAGTCACAGAGTCCTCTCAGTGTCTCACATAGCTCCCTGAGTCCGTATATACTAGTTGCATCTAGTTAAATCTAAGTTATATGCTATATGCTAAGATCACAGATTTAGAGCTAGAAGGGACCTAAAAAGCCATCTAATCCAAATCCTTCATTTTATAGATAAGACCCATAAAGTGAGTGATTTGCTCAAGTTTCCAATTTGCATGAGTGAAGAAAGTTTTTACATGAGTTCCCTACATTAATGAAATCACAGGTCTAGACCAAAAAAAAAAGGACGGGAGAATCTATGTTACTATGAAGCATCTGGCTCTGGCCATTAGGCCTTGTCAATCCCATTCAGCTTCTAGTTTCTAGGCATTGGTCCAGGACACCTTAATCATGGCCTCAGAGCTTTCTCCTTTACAAATTAATAAACTTCCCTGATCTTTAAACTCCAACTAGAACTACCACCTTTCTTAGTCCCAGAATGCTTGGAACATGATTGGCTCCTTGGATTTCAAGATCTGCCATATTGAATCCTATTTACCATTCCTCCTTCTACCACTATTACTGTAACTAGATATCCAATTTGTTCCCTATTTCCTTTCTATTCTGTTCCTACACATACTTCAGAGCCTTCATGCCACTAGGCCTGTCCTATAAGGATGAGGCTGAGTCAGACATCAATACCAGTGAGGGTGACTGGGCCATGTTGGCCTCAGTGCCTCTCTGTGTAGAATAAGAAATGTACTCTCTAGTTACGGAGCAGCTTGTCCAATACCATCAATATAGTCAGTCAATAAACATTTATTAAATGCCTACTATGTGCTAGGCACTATCAAAACATACATAGGCATCTCTTAGTCTTAATAAATCTGATATATAGGGGCAACTAGGCTGTGCCTAGTTGGAGTCAGAGGACTTGAGTTCAAATTCAGCCTCAGACACATATTAGCTATGTGAACCTGGACTAGTCACTTAACCCCGATTGCCTCCCCCCCCAAAAAAAAAATCTGATGTATAGCATATCCCATTTATGGACCTGAATGGTTTCATTATTGAAATGAAGTTCAGTTTATTTAACGCTGGAAAATATGGAAAATACCACAGCTTCAGCCCCTAGCACCCCTAGACTTTGAGAAGACTTAAATTCTAATGCTAGTTCTACCACTAACTCGCATTGTTACTGTGGACAAGCTATTTCCTTTCTCTGGGCCTCAGTTTCCTCATCTGCAGAAAGAGGGGGTTAAGCCAGATGGTCCTTGGGTCTCAAAGGTACTTACTGACTTTGACATTCTAGGAATCTATGGTTCTCTCCCAATATTAGGGTTCCCATCTTCTGCCACTCATTGCCTGTCTTGTCTTAATCCTGTCCTGTACTCTTTTTTTCCTTGTTAGTTTTTTTTATTATGAACTTACAAAACATGAACATTTTAACAAGTAAAGAATAAAAAAGAACATGTCTGAAATTGTGAACAGCTGTTACGCCCAGCTTATTTTTTAAAAGTACATATTAAATTTAACACAGTAATGCTAATACTCATGGTTACGTGTCCCCTTAATCTATGTATTTTTAAAATGTTCTTGGATATTTTTTCCTTTTCTTCTTTTTTTTTTGGCATCACTATCTACAGTACTCAACCCCTATACTTTCCATACCACCCCAGATAAAAGCCTTCCCTTGTAACAAATACATATAGTCAAGCAAAACAAATTCAAATTCATACATTTAATGTATTTGAAATTTTACTTCTCATTTGCATCTCTAATTCATCTCCCTGCCTAGAGTGGGGAAGCATGCTTCATCATCATTTTGCTAGAGTCATCATGATTGGTCATTGCTTTAATCAGAGTTCTTAAATCTTTCAAAGTTATTTTCCTTTATGTCATTTTCTTTGTTTTCCTTTACAAAATAGTGGTAGAAATTTTGTTCTCCTGGTTATGCTCATTTCATTCCATGCCAGTTCATTCAATTCTTCCTAGGTTTCTTTTCATCTATCCCTCTAGTAATTTTTATGATGCAATATGGACCATTACATTCATATTGTATAATTTTAAGCCATTTCCCAGTTGATGTGTGCCCCCTTAGTTTCCAGCTTTTTGCTACCACAAAATGTGCTGCTATAAATACATATGTATATGTATTTTGTACATATGGGTCCTTTACCTCTATTTTTGAACTCTATTGGGGTATAAAGTAGCAGCAGCAGAAGCAATAACAATACCAGGTCAAAAGGTATGAACAATTAAGTGACTTTTTGGGAATGGTTTCGAATTGCTTTTCAGAATGGTTGGACTAATGCATAGCTCCACTAATAGTTCATTAATATTACTGTCTTCCCATAGTCCCCCCCAATAATTGTCATTTTTTTGATTATCTTTGCCAATCTGATGGTGTGAGGTGGAACCTCAGACTTTTTAATTTACACTTCTCTTATAATTAGTGGTTTGGATTATTGATAGTTTGCCTTTTTCTTTTGAAAACTGCTTGTTCATATTCTTTGACCATTTATATATTGAGAGTGACTTTAATTCTTATATATTTTGATCCATTCTTTATATAGCCAGGATATCAGCTCTTTATCAGAAAAATCTGCCACAAATATTTTTCCCCAGTTAATTGTTGCCTTTCTAATTCTAACTACATTGGTTTTGTATGTGCATAAATTTTCCAATTTTATGTAATAAAAATTGTCCATTTTACCTTTTATTATCCTTTCTATCCCTTATTTGGTCAAGAATTCTTACATATCTATACTTGTGAGGAATATCTCTTACCCTTTTCCTCTAATTTGTTAATGATTAGATCTTTTTATTTAGGTCATGTATCCCTTTGCAGATTATTTTGTTAAATACTGTGAGATGTTGGTCTAAACCTAATTTCTGCAAATTGATTTCTAGCTTTCCATGAAATTTTTGACAAATAGTGTTAACTCAGTAGCTAGAGTCCTTGGGTTTATCAAACACTATGAACAAATACTAGGTTCACTTGCTTCTGGGCTTTGTGTACTTAATATGTAACATTGATTAACTTTTCTATTTTTCAACTAGGACCAAATAGTTTTGATAATTACCACTTTGTAGTATAGTTTGAGATCCGGTACTGCTAAGTCACCTGCTATCATGCTTTTTGTCATTATTTTCTTTGACTTTTTGTTTCTGCAGGTGAATTTTGTTGTTATTTAGTCTGTTCTATAAAGTAAATTTTTGTACTTAGATGTAATACTGAATCTGTAAATTAATTTGGATGATATTGTAATTTTATTACGTTACTATTGCCCAACTATGAGCAATTAATATCTTTTCAATTATTTAGCTCTGTCTTTATTTCTACAAAGAATGTTTTGTAGTTTTATTCAGGTAATTCCTCTATGTGGGTGGGTGTGTGTGTCTGTGTCTGTGTGTAGATTCTCAGATATTTATACATTTGGTAGTTATTTTCAATGGTATATCTTTCTTTATCTCTTCCTATTGGCCTTTATTGGTAATAGAAAAACAAGCTGATGAATTTGTGCTTATTCTATATTAAGATACTTTGCTGAAATTACTATTTCAATCAAATTTCAATTGAATATCTAGGGTTCTCTATGTTAACCATCTATAAAAGAGCAAAATTTTTGTTTCTTCTTTGTCTGTGTTTAATCTTTTGATTTCTTTTTCTTATCTTGCTGTACCAGCTAGCATTTTAGGAACTAATGATTTCTTTGCTTTACTCCTGATTTTCTTAGGAAGGGCTCTAGTATTTCTCAATTACAGATAATATTACCTCTTGGTTTTAGGTAGATACTATTTATAATATTAAACAAGGTTCCTTTTAGTCTGATTTTAAAAATATTTTTTTAAACACAAGTGAGTGTTGTATTTTGCCAGAAGGCTTTTCTACATCTCTTGATGTAATTATGTAGTTCTTATTATTTTTGTAATTAATATGACCTATTGTACTTATAATTTACCTAATATTGAACCAATTCTGCTTTCCTTATATAAATCCATTCTACTCATAATGTATGGTATTTTTGCTATGTTGGTGTAGATTCTTTGCTATCAATACTTTTGCATATTGATATTCATTAGAAATATATATTTAATTTTCTTTCTCTGTTTTATCTCTCCTTGGTTTATGTGTCAGAACCATATTTCACTCATAGTAGGAACTTGGTAGGTTACTTTCTCTATTTTCACAAACAACTTATGTAATATTGGAGTTAATTACTATTTGAATGTTTGACAAAATTAACTTGTAAATCTATCTGATCCTGGGGTTCTTTCCTTTGGGAGTTAATTTATAGCATATTCAATTTTCTTTCCTGAGACTGGATTATCTAAATTCTCTATTTCTTCTGTTGATAATTTGAGTATTTAATGTTTTTATAAATATTCATCTATTTCATTTAAATTATAAGTTTTGATGGTACATACTTTTGCAAAATGGTTTTGAATATTTCCCTTTTTTCTTCTCTATATGTTGTGAATTCTCCTTTTACATTTTTGAGTGTGGTAATATAGTTTTCCATCTCTTTTTAGAAATCTAATTGGCTAATGGTTTGTCTCTTTCATTAACTTTTTAAAAAAACCAACTCCTAGTTTTATTTATCAGGGAATCGTAGATTTAAAGCTAAAAGAGTATTTAGTATCATTGAGTCTAATGCCCTAATTTTAAATATGAAGAAACTGAGAAGCAGAGATATTAAATGATTTGACCAGGTTTACATAGCTAGTGAGTATCCGAGGCAGGATTTGAACACAGATCTCTCTGTTTTCAAGTTCAACATTATCTACTATGTCATGCTGCTTGTCTTATCAGTTCAATAGGTTTTTCTTTTAAGTTTGCTTTCTTGCTTTTGATTTTTCATAATGTCTATTTTTTGCATTTAGTTGGAGGTTTAGCAATGCTGTCTCATTGTTATCATTTTCTTTAATGATCTGTTGTTTTTAGGATTGTTCTTTGACCTATCAACTTTTAAGGGTTATATTAAGGCTTTTTAAAATTAATTTGTTTGGATTTATCAACAATCACTTCCATAAGCTTTTGAGTTTTAAATTTTTCTCCCCTCTCTCCCCACCTCCCTCCCCAAGATGGCACACAATCTGATATAGGGTATACATATACATTCCTATTAAACATATTTTCACATTACTCGTCTTGTAAGGAAGAATTAGAACCAACAGGAGACCAGAAAGAGGAAACACAGCTCAATAGAAGAAAAAAAATAGCAAGTGGTATGCTTCGATCTGCGTTCAAACTCCATAGTTCTTTCTTTGGATGTGGATAGCATTTTCCATGATGAGACCTTTTGGGATGTCTTACATCCTTGCGTTGCTGAGAAGGGCTAAGTCTGTCAAAGTTAGTCATCGTACAATATGGCTGTTACTGTGTACAACGTTCTCCTGGTTCTGCTCACTTCACTCAGCATCAGACCATACAAGTCTTTCCAGGTTTTTCTGAAGTCTGCCTGTTCATCATTTCTTATAGTATTTCATTACATTCAGATAGCACAACTTGTTCGGCCATTCCCCAGTTGATGGGCATCCTCTCAATTTATTAAGTCTTTTTTAATCCTTTCTTCAAAAATCCTTTATTGATTTTAATTTTATTGTACTTTGTTCAGTAAAGATATATTAATGTTTCTACTTTCCTGAACTTGTTTATGAGTTATTTATGCCCATTCACATAGTCAATTTTTATAAAGATGTTATGTAAAGCTAAGATATATATGTGTATACATACATGCATATGTAAATGTATATATGCATATATTCCTTCCATTCCCATTCAGTAATCTCCAGAGGTCTGTTTTATTTTATGTTTCCAAAACTGTATTCAGGTCAACTTCTTTCTTGTTCATCTTTTTGTTAGATTTGTCTGAAAAGGGCACAGTGATGTCTCTGACTATTTTCATTTTGCTATTTATTTCTTTCTATAATTTGATTAGCTTTTCTTTTAAGTGCTTATATACTATGCTATTTGGTGCATATATCTTAACATATTGATATTATTTATTTATCTTTTGTCCTTTTGTATGTGATATGGTTTTTCTTTTTATCTCCTTTAACCACATCTATTTTTACTGTTGCCTTGCCTGAGATCATTATTACCACCCCTGCTTTAAAAAAAAAAATCGAGTGAAGCAGAGTAAATTCTAGTTCAATCCATTACTTTAACTCTTTGTGAATCTTTATGTTTCACCTTTACATTTTTTGTAAAGAACATATTGTTGGCTTCTGCTTTCTAAACCATTCTGTTACTCTCTTCCATTTTATGAGTGCATTCATTCCATTCATATTTATTGTTATGTTTATTAATTGTGTTTTTACCTCCATCATATCCTCTTAGAATTTTTCCTCTCCTTGCCCCTTGCCTTCTCCTCTTACAAATGAGAAGTGGGGAAAGAAAAGGAATGAAATTAACATTAGTGATCTATAATTGAAATGCTCTGATCTTATTCCTCTACCCTTCCACTCTTCACCCAGTCTAGACCCCGATCAATGACCTTTACACTTTCTATCCATTTAATCCTCCCTTTCTCCTCTTTAAAGATGAAGTTCACTTTGCTTTACTTGGGGGCTATTCCTTCTCCATCCTCCCTCTTAAACCTTCCTTTCCCTTCTCCCATTTCCCTGCCCTAATTCCCTGTTTAATTTAATGTATTTCTACATCAAATTATTTATGTGTGTATGTGTATGTGTGTTCAGTCCTCCCTTGCCCAGTTCTTTTTTTTTTTCCTTTTGGTGAGGCAGTCAGGGTTAAGTGACTTGTCCAGGGTCACACAGCTAGTAAATGTCAGGTCTGAGGTCAAATTTGAACTCAGGTCCTCCTGATTCCAAGGCCAGAGTTCTATCCACTGCATCACCTAGCTGCCCCCTTGCCCAGTTCTGATAAGAGTGAGGTTCATGAGATGTCTACTACCTTCAGTGCCACACTGTCCAAGTAGCTAACATTGAAGTACCAGAATCCCACTGGCTTCAGGTCTCATTTAGCAGAAACCAATCTGCCTTTATTCTCTCCTGGTAAATCCAGGCTCAGAGTGCCTGCAAGTTTCTGATCCTTTTCTTGTGTACTCCTGTACTATATGAAAGAGTTTTCTCTTTGGTCTTCTTGATCATTGTTTCATCTGGTATTCTTATAAATCATTGTTGGAGTATTTGCTAGGGGAGCTGAGTTCTAGAACCTTTAACATTTGCCATCTTAACTGGTAGTTCTCTTTCCTTCGCTCTTCCTCAATTTCACTCTGTCTTTACATGTCAGTTTTCTTCTTCTCTCCTTCAGGTTTTTGTCTAGTGGCTTAGGTCTTACTTCCTCCTCCTTCCTTTTCTCACAGGCTCTGGACTGTCATCTCACCTATTCTTGTGTTTCTTTTCTGTTTGAGCCTGGCTCACACTTCCCATAAATTGTCTCTTTTTCTTAGAAGATCCCTTCTTCAGGTTTCTTTGACAGAATTACCGCTTTACCTTGCCCCCACCTCCAACCCCCAGTCAACTCAATGAAGGTCTTTGTCCTTCCCCCAAAGCAGTGAATATAAAATTAAGACATAGAGGTGAAGCACAATGGAGGCAGGATCTAGGCTTAGAGATGAGTCAGAACTTGCTCTAATCTTGATTTGCCAATGTATGACTTATGGTAAATCGCAGACCCTCTATAGGTTTCTGGTTGCCTTTCTTTGTAAAATGGTCCTAATATACCTGCCTCAGAGGAAAAGAAAGCATGCAATGACAGAACATCAGAGCGAGAAGGTACCTTAAAGATTATCCCATTGTTTTTATTAAAAAGACAGATGGTACAGGGAGGATGAATGACTTGCTGATGGTCCTACAGGAAGTCACTGGAAAACTCAGGGCTAGAATCAGAGCCTCTTGCTCTTTCTGGGTTCTAGATGGATCCATTTGTGTTTGTCAGGAGGAGTACAGGGTAGGGGGAGGTTGGTGAAGAACCTGCTTTGTCACCATGACCTTTTTTTCAATGCTGTCAGGGCTTCGGGGACTGATGATTGCTGTTATGATGGCAGCCTTGATGTCCTCCTTGACCTCCATCTTCAACAGTAGCAGCACACTCTTCACTATGGACATCTGGAGGAAGCTGAGACCTCAAGCAGGAGAGAGGGAGCTCCTGTTGGTGGGCAGGTATGCGTCAGGGTCCTATCAGACTAGAGAAAAGAAAGTCAGGTTTGTTGATCCTCATAATGAACACGCGCAGTGGAGTTGTATGTGATGTGGAACACTTTTTCATATAGTTGTTGATAGCTTGCCTTTCTTCTTTTGAAAACTGCTTATTCATAACTGTTGATCATTTATTTATTGTTGGGTGACTCTTGTTCTTATATATTTAAATAAATTCTTTATAGACCTTAGATAACAGAACTTTATGAGAAAAAAATTCTGCTGCAAAGATTTTTTTCCCCAATTAATAGTTTTCCTTCTAACTGCATTGGTTTTATGTGTGCAAAAACATTTTATGTACTCAAAATTGTCTGTTTTTTCTCTTGTGATTTTCACTATCCCTTGTTTGGTCAAGAACTTTTCCACTGTTCATAACTGTGAAAGATATTTCTTTCCCTTCTTTTCTAATTTGCTTATGATATGACCTTTTATATTTAGGTTATGTGTACTTTTGGAGCTTATTGTGATATATGGTATGGGACATTTGTCTATACCTAACCAAATGAGTTAGGAAGGAAATTGATGTTTTCCCAGTAACACCTGGGTAGCTGCTACTGTAGATACCTACGTTGCAGTTAGATTATAACTTCCCTCAGGGGTTGTCAAAACAGAAGAGGGAGGGTTGGGAGATTGCAAAATGGTGGGAAGGTATGGAATAAGGGAGTGTTGGACTGTAATGAATGAAGGGTAGTTGTGATTATGTTGGAGACAAACAACACAGAAGATTGACTCTTGTGGGGTGAGATGCAGCTTATCTTCCTGCTCATTGGTTGATCACATGCTATTTGGAGTCATGCCACAGCCTCTGAGAGAGTTTGTCAACCCCTCCCCCCATGAAGCCACTTTGAAGACTGCTACCTTAGAGAATAATAGAGGAAAATATAGGAAAAATAGACATGTATTCTGATAACTTCAATATCAGACAGAATATGACATAGGCCAATGAGAAAGTCACAAATTATATGCTAGGCATTGGGGGTGGTGGTTGGAGCAGATCAGGAAGAGGTCACTTCCAGCTGGGATCAGGGAAGCTCTTATTGAGGAGCTGGCATTTGGGTTGGGCCTTGAAAGATGGGTAGGAGTTGAATTGGCAGAGATGGTAGGGAGAGCATTCCAAATGGAGGAAATATATTCCGTGAATAGCTATAGTCCTGTTTGGCTGGAGCCTGGGATGTATGAGTGGAGTTAGGAAATAAGGTATGGAAAGGAAGTCTGGGGCCAGAAATTATGGAGGGCCTAGAATGTCAGGCTAATGCATTTTGCTGGACTTTATCTAGTAGGAAATAGGGAGCCAGTAAAGTTTTTTGATGGAAAGTAATGTGATTAAGAAGATTAAACTGACAACATGTATAGGATGGAAAGGAGGGAGACAGGGATACCACTGAGGATGCCAAGGAGAAGTAGAGGCCTGAGTATCTAAACACTTTTACTCATGTTCCAGATAGCCCAGAGGAAAAAATGTTCCCTTGTTGTCCTTTCCACCCCCCAACCAATTGCTCACCAGAAAGCCAAAAATTACCAGGAGGTTGGCACTTTGATCTAGAGGCAAGTTATTAATAAGAAGTCTGATGAGCCCATGCCCCCACCCCTGTATCTAGCACTTTGGAATATGCAAAGCAAGAGCTTCTTCCTGTTCCACAGGGCCTGTTGGAACATGTTGTGTGGCTGGTAGGCTGAGGCCATGCAATCATCCCCTGTAAGCCCACAGCCTTGTTTGCATCCAGCTTAATTAACTTTACAACAGATCCATCAGAGGCTGATCACAGAGGGAGTAAACGCTGGGGAGGTGGGGGTGTGGGGGGAGGACCTGCAGGAGTGACCCTTCAGTCACCCTCAGCCTGACACTTCCTACTATGGTCAGCTCCTGCTTTACCGAAGGGAAAAAAAAAGACCTTAGAATATAATTCAGTACAAGGCAGCCTTGGAATCACAGGTTTTCTGGGGAGGCCTCCAGGAGATTTCTCTTCTAAAACTGTGCCTCTCGGATCACAACCTTTCCACCTTTCCCATCTTCTTAGGTTCTGTGTCCCTGACCTGCTGTCCTGCAATGTAGTACCTATAATCCAATATCTCACTGGAAAATATCCTACACAGGGAAGCTCAGGGCACAAACTCTGCGCAGAGTGTAGTAAGTTATAGGTTCACAGGCCTGACTTGGCTGAAAGACTTGTTAAGTGTCTTCCAGATGTTCATTTTTCCTCCTCTTATCCCTTCTGGCTCAGCCCATTTCGCTGTCCTTTGAATCACCTTCTCCTTCCTGGCTAGCTCACCCTAACTCCCACTCCCAGGCCAGAGCTGCAGTTATTTCTTTCAGTTCCTGTGTTCACTGGAGGAGTAGAGTCTCTTTCTACCTGGGCCCAAGGTTCCTCCTTTCCCCATTCAGTCCCATTTTGAAGCTTCTCTCCTCACAGCGAATGAACTAGTGACTCTATCATTAGCACACCCCGGATTGTATTTGAAGAATTCTCTTGAGTTTGTCTCTGTCTGTTCTGACCACACAGGACTCTGATGAGCTCAAATCAAGTATTTATTAAGACTTACTGTGGGTAGACACTGTGCTAAATGCTGATTATACAAAGAAGGACAAACATACAGTTCCTGCCCTCAAGGAGATTACATTCTAATGAGAGAGAACATATACACACATATGTATATATGTATTATATGCATATATATACATATATGTATGTATATATCTTGTAAACCAATATTTATACAGAGTAAATGGAAGCTTCTCAGAGAGGAAGACATTAAGAGCTTGGAGGGATCAGAAAGGCCTCCTTGAATAGGTGAAATTTGAGTTGAGTCTTGAAAGGAGCCACCAAAAACTAAGAAGCTGAAGCAAGGGGACAGCATTCCAGGCATAGAATGACATGGGAGAGGGAATTCCTGTGTGTTATTGGAAGAGAGTAAGGTGTAAGAAGACTGGGAAGGTTGGAAGGGGGCAGGTTATAAAGAGCTCAATTCAATTCAATTCAACAATATTAAGATAAGAGAGGGGTTGGACATATAAAGATAAAGATTAAAAAAAGTAAAATCTGTCCTCTGGGAGCTCATATTCTATCATCCTTAAATACTAACTCAATCAAACAACAAGCATTTTTTTTTTAATTTTTAATACAATTTTATTTTTTTCAATTACCTATAAAGATAGTTTTCAACATTCTTTTTTTTTTTTTTTTGGCCAGGCAATAGGGTTAAGTGACTTGCCCAGAGTCACACAGCTAGTGAGTGTTATATGTCTGAGGCTGAATTGGAACTCAGGTCCTCCTGAATCCAGGGCCGGGTGCTCTACCACTGAGCCACCTAGCTGCCCCCACAACATTCTTTTTTTAAATAAGATTTTGAGTTCCAAATTTTTTCTCTCTCCCTCCTTCATCTCCCACTCCCCAAGACAATAAACAATCTGTTATAGGTTATATCTGTGCAATCATGTAAATATATTTCCATATCAGTCATGTTATAAAAGAAGAAACAGAACAAAAAAGAAACCAACAAAAAAATAAAAGAAAGAAGTGAAAATAGTTTACTTCAATCTATATTCAGATTCCATAGTTCTTTCTCTGGAGGTGGATAGCATTTTCTGTCATGAGTCTTTTGGAATTGTATTGGATCATTGTATTGCTGAGAAGAGCTAAGTCAATCATACTCAGTCATCACACAATGTTGCTGTTACTGTGTACAATGTTTTCCTGGTTCTGCTCACTTCACTCAGCATCGGTTAAAGTAAGTCTACCCAGGTTTTTCCGAAGTCCACACGCTTATCATTTCTTATAGCACAATAGTATTCCATTATATTCATATACCACAGCTTGTTCAGCCATTCCCCCATTGATGGACATCACTTCAATTTCCAATTTTTTACTACCACAAAAAGAGCTGCTATTAATATTTTTGTACAGGTCCTTTTCCCTTTTTTATGATCTCTTTGAGATACAGACCAGTATTGCTGGATCAAACAGTTTGATTGCCTTTTGGGCATAGTTCCAAATTGCTCTCCAGAATGGTTGGATCAGTTCACAATTCTACCAACAATTCATTAGTGTCCCAATTTTCCCACATCTTCTCCAACATTTATCATTTTCCTTTTCTGTCATATTAGCCTATCTGAGAGGTGTGTGGTAGTACTTCAGAGTTGTTTTAATTTGCATTTCTCTAATCAATAGTGATTTAGAGCATTTTTTCATATGACTATAGATAGCTTTAATTTCTTCATCTGAAAATTGCCTGTTCATATCCTTTGACCGTTTATCAGTCGAGGAATGTATTGTATTCTTGTAAATTTGACTCAGTTCTCTATACGTTTTAGAAATGAGGTCTCTATAAGAAACACTTGCTGTAAAAATTGTTTCCCCTCTTTCTGCTTTCCTTGTAATCTTGATTGCATTTGTTTTGTTTGTGCAAAACCCTTTTAATTTAATGTAATCAAAATTATCCATTATTTGGTCATTTCCCTTCTCCATACATCTGATCGGTAAACTATTCCTCCAGCAAGCATTTATTAAATGCCCATGTGTGTCAGGCATGGTACTAGGTGTTTGAGACACAGAGTCAAAAGTAAAATACTTCCTGCCCCCCAGGGCAGTTACGTTCTAACTGAGGAGACAACAATACATACAAAAGACATACAAAGGAGATTCAAAGTAACCTTGAGGAGGAAAGGCACTAGCATCTAGGGAGACAAGGAAAAGTTTCATGCAGAGGGTGATCTGTGAATTGAATCTTGAAGGAAACCAGGGGTTCCAAGAGGTGGAAGTGAGGAAGGAGAGTTTTCCAGACAAATGAACAACTTAGGCAAAGTCATGGAGTATTGTGTGTGTGTGTGTGTGAGGAAAAGCAAGAAGGCCTGTATGAAGAGAATAATGTGTAATAAGGTTGTACAGGAAGGATGGGGCCAGGTTCTTAAGAGCTTTAAATGCCAAACAGAGGGATTTATATTTGATCCTAAAAGTAATAGAGATTCA